AAGTTAAGTGGGATTTGTTGATTAGTTTTAACTCTAAAAAATTCAATAATAACTTGTGTGACAGGCTGGAGTAGTGTTGGGTTTGTGCCAGGGATGGGCACATACCCTGAGAGGGGTAAACATGAGAAAACAGGGAATTCAAAGTAAGGAGAAGCTGTTAAAGAGGGAATTAGTTCAGGAGGAGCAGTGGAGGTGCCAGATGAGTAAAGCTTTTGTAAAGATGGGTCCTGCCAAGGCCCAATTCCTTGGGGAGCTTCCCAAGCCCAGCTCTGCCCACAGTGCTGTGAAATGCTGGGCTTGGCACTGGGATTCTGCTCTGGGGCAGTTTTTAAGAGGATGTGCTTGGTGAGGTGCAGGTCAGGGCTGTGGCAGAGCTCTCCTGCCACCCTGAGGCTTCCTGGGAATGGGAGGGATTGGGAGTGATCCCTGCTCCTCTGCAGGCTGTGGGGAAAAAGGCACAAAATCATCAAATCCCAGAACAGTTTGGGTTGGGAGGGACATTAAAGCTCACCCCATCCCACCCCCTGCCGTGGGCAGGGACACCTTCCACCAGCCCAGGGTGCTCCAACCTGGCCTTGGACACTTCCAGGGATCCAGGGGCAGCCACAGCTTCTCTGGGAATTCAATCCCAGCCCCTCCCCACCCTCCCAGGGGAGGATTTCTGTGCTTCCCTAAAACAATCAGTGCAGTGTGAAAGGGTTTTCCTGCAGAGCTCAGCTTTGCTGGGTCTCCCTGTTGGGCCCAGCCCATGGATCTGGCCTGTCCTGATCCCTGGGCTTTGCTGCACATTCCCTTTGCTGCTCTTGGGAGCACCAAGGCCCTGCCCAAATCCTTGGAGGGCTCTGCTCATCCCCCCCTGTATTTCCCTTTCCTTCTTTCACCCCGTCTGGGGGGATTTTTGGGATGTTTGGGTTTGCTCCAGGCACAGCTGTGCCTCCTGCTCAGGAAGTTCACTCCAGCAGTCACAAATTTGGGGTTTTAGTCAATTTGGTGGCTCTGGTTCCTGAAGGATTCTCCATTTGTGTGCAGGGCCCTGCTCGATCCCGGGGTGCTTTGGGAGCAGGGACATGGATTTGTGGATATTTGTGGATAGAACTCCTGGCTGGGAGAGGCTGTGACCCCCCTGTCCCTGCAGTGGGAACACAGGTCACCCCTGTGCCTCCTGGGTTTGCCCCTGTCTGCAGCAAGAAGGGTTTAAAAAGCCAAACAAAAACCACCCCAGAAGTGAAAAGACGGATCCTCTGTCTCCACCCTCCCGCTGGGATCGGAGATCTGCTGGGATCGGAGATCTCCCCTCTTTCCAGGGGAAATTGTGTGATTTGTTTCCATTCTTTACCCCACAACCCTCGTTTTTGTGAGATGTGGGTTCTGTTATGGGCAAAAAAGCCCCACAACACAACTTAAAATCCCTCTGCAGCTCATTGTGAGCTCACCCCAAACCCACTCCAAGATCCACGTGGAGCATCCAGAGCTCGAAAACCCTGGGATTGGCAAAAAAAGTCTTGGAGAGCCTGAACCTGGGGGTTTTTTTTTGTTTGCTTTTTTCCCTGTGACTGGAGCACACGTGGCCTGGTGTCATTGTGGCAGCTCCAGCTTGGGAATTCCTTGGGAATGCGAGCTGGGTCTGGGATCTTTCTGCCTCTGCGTGGTGGGGTGAGGAGGGGTCCCCCCAGCAGGAGATGGGCTCCCAAAGCCCCCTGGGCTCTAAGCTGGTGCTCTGTTGCAGTGGGACATCCCCCCTGGCCTGCCTGAATGCCATGTTACACACCAACTCCCGGGGGGAAGAGGGGATCTTCTACAAGGTGCCGGGACGGATGGGAGTCTACACCCTCAAGGTGAGTGAGTGTCCCCCTGGCACCTCCCTGGAGGGCTCAGGGGACTTTGGTCTGTCTAAAAACACCTTGGGTTGGGATCTCGGAGTCACTGGGGTTGGAAAAGCCCTCCCAGCCCATGGATCCCCCCTGTGCCCCATCCCCACCTTGTCACTGAGTGCCACGGCCAGGCCTTCCTGGGACACCTCCAGGGCTGGGCACTCCAAACCTCCCTGGGCAGCCCCTGCCAAGGCCTCACCACCCTTTCCAGCAGGAAATTCCTCCTGATGTCCAGATTATCCAGGATAATCCTGAAGAGGGGGCTGTTCCTCGCTGGCAGGAGTTGGAGTGTGGATGTTCCCTCTGGCTGCTCCTGGGCACTGGGTGTGCTCCTGTTACCCACAGGGTGGTTTCCTGATGTCAATCACTGTCCCAGAAATGAAGGAGTAATTAAAATGTCAGTGGAACTTTAGCCTAAAAGGGTAACTTCATCTTCACTGCTCTCTCTAGGAATGAAAAATCACCTTCTCCCCAGTCTGTTAGTAAGACAGAGGGGAAAATACGGGAGGGTCTGATTGGTGTATTTAAAAATAATCTGTGTTTTAAACACTGGAAGGAGGCCCCACACCACTCCTGGTTTGGTGTGAATTGTCTGTGCAGGCTGTGCCCAGACCTGCTCAGTGTGGGGGGTCCCCAAGGGACACTTTTCCTCTCTCTCCCTCCCTCCTGGACAGAGAGGAATGGAAAATGGAACCAGAGAGTCATTAACACCGACAGCCCTGTCACCTTCATTGGCCTTGGGTGTGGAAATCACTCCTGGCTCTGCTTTCAGAGGCAGGACAAGGAGTCAGTTGTCTCCAGGTCCAGGGAGAGCTGTTTTGAGGTGCTTTTCCCAGCAGTGGGGATTCCCTGTGGGACACACCTGGAGCTGTCCAGCTGTTACCTGGGAACACTGAGGGGGTCACTGGGTTCCTGAGGATTGTTGGGAATGATTATTGGCATCAGTTCAGCCTTGGCTGAGGGGGTGGCACAGAGGCAGAGCAGGGATGAGGGTTGGGATGGGCCACAGTCCATCCCCTCCTGGCTCAGCACCTCTGGGAGCTGCCCAGAGCTTTTCAGGTAGGGGAGGAGGGGGGACATGACCCACTCCAGCTGGACACCCCAGCAGCAGGGAACAGCCAGTTCTCCTGCCCTGGAAATGGGTGTTGCAGTTGGATCTGATGGGATCAGCACTAGAGGGCTGGGATGGGGTGGGAGGGATTAAAGAGGGGAACAGCCCAAACCCACAGGTGAGTGTAGGTGCTCCCACCACAGCCTGGGCTTTCACTGAATCCCAGAATCCCTGAGGTTGGAAAAGCCCTCCCAGCCCATGGATCCCCCCTGTGCCCGATGCCCACCTTGTCACTGAGTGCCACAGCCAGGCCTTCCTGGGACACCTCCAGGGCTGGGCACTCCAAACCTCCCTGGGCAGCCCCTGCCAGTGCCTGACCACCCTTTCCAGCAGGAAATTCCTCCTCCTGTCCAACCTGAGCCTCCCCTGGCACAGCTGGAGGCCGTTCCCTCTCCTCCTGTCCCTTGTTCCCTGGGAGCAGAGCCCGACCCCCCCCGGCTCCCCCCTCCTGTCAGGGGGTTGCAGAGCCAGAAGGTCCCCCCTGAGCCTCCTTTGCTCCAGGCTGAGCCCCCCCAGCTCCCTCAGCTGCTCCTGCTGCTCCAGCCCCTTCCCAGCTCCTCACAGGGTGTAAGGACCACTCAGAAACCAGTGCCAGGTGTGTTTTCCACAGGACCTGTGTTGGCAGCTCAGGGGCTGCTCTGCCCTGGTGGGAACAATATCCCATCTGACCCCTCTGGCAGTGGGAAGCCGTTCCATTCCCCTTTGTCCCGTCCCTGGAGTTGGTGATTAGTGATGGAGAAGTCAGGGAAGAGCAGTTAAAGCCTCCTGTGAGGGATGACGAGGGTGGTGTTTAGGGTGTGTCACCTGCATTAAGTGTTTAAATGGAGGCCCAGAGGGCAGCAGAGTGTTTGAGGCCGGTGGTGGAGCAGCAGAAAATCCCCAGCGGGTCCCTGGTGATTAAAACCCTCCCCGTCCTGAGGGTTCTGCTGCCCGTGGGAGGGGCTGGCCCGGGGGGGGGTGACTGTGTGTCCGTGTGTCCCCCTGCAGAAGGACGTCCCAGACGGGCTGAAGGAGCTGTCAGAGGGCTCAGAGGAGAGCAGTGATGGCCAGTCTGACTCGCAGAGCTCCGAGAACAGCAGCAGCAGCAGCGACGGCTGCGCCAAGGACGGGAGGAAGAGCAGGTGGAAAAGGAAAGGTGGGTCCCTGTTTTGGGAGTGATGCTTTGAACCCGGGCTGGGGAGGGCTTGAGAGGGTTTTATCCATCACTTCTGGTGCCTTACAGCAGTCCCAGAGCCTGGAATGTGCCGTCCCTTTGGAGCTCAGGTGGGATGTGCCCCCCTGGGCAGTGAAGGGTACCTGTGTCTAGGGGGGGTTTTGGTCCTTCCACATCCCAGAATTCACACCCAGGAGCTGCCACTCTGCTCCTCCCAGGCTCTCCCTGCCTTCCCCCCGTGTTCCCTGGGAGAGGGTGAACTGGGGGGTCCTGCAGGGTTTGGTCCTGTCCTGGTTTGGTCTCCTCTCCCTCCCACACCAGGCCCTGTTTAGGTTTTGGGGTTGAATCCTCTCCAGGCCCGGCTGGGGCTGCTCAGTTTGGATGGTTCAGAGACATTCCTGCCATGTCCAGATCCTGGTTTTTCTATGGAAGCAGTGCAGGAGTGCCAAGCAGAGGAGAGAATGGGTTTCAGTCTCTGGGGTGAATCCTGGTGTCACTGGGCACCCTGGGCAGGGAATGTCACTCATCCCACAGTGCCCTGTGCTGCTCTCTCACTGTGTCAGGCACAGCAGTGCAACCTTTATTAGTGAGAAACTGCATTTCCCTCCTTGCCCAGGTCCTGTCAGCACCCACTCATTTCACCAACATCTCAATTCTTCCCTCCTCCAAAGCTCTGCTCAGACACTTCTGGGCTGCTGAGATGCCCTGGGCTGAATTAATGAGAAAAAAAGCCCTAATTCAGTGTGAGGCTGTGACATCCATTGCTCTGGGAGCAGGGGAGACTCTATTATTCACTCCAGGGCTGTTATTCCCTGTTCAAAATGAGTGTTTCCTCCCTGCCAGCTGGGTGAGGGAGCCTGGAGCCTCCCTGCAGGCAGCTCTGGGTGGCCTGGAGAGCTGGAGTTTCACCCTTTAATCCAATATTTCCCTTTTCCTTTTCCCCCTCAGTCACGCACAGAATTTCTTGGCTGAAACAAGACATTATAAAACTCATTTCCAGTGCAATGAGACACCTGAGTGGGAGCAGAGAGGGTTTCTAAAGCTGCCAAACCCTGCCCTGGTGGGGAGTCACTGCAGGAGAAAAGGGGCTTTCACTGCTCACCTGGGCCAGACCCTTCCCTGGAGCCACAAGACAATAAAAAAGAAGCATCATGTAGAATTTTAAGCATTTAAAGCACCATGAAAGTACAAAATTACACATAAATATAAAAAAGTATGAGTATAAAAAAGTGTAAGTGTAAAAGAAGCATCATGTAGAATTTTAAGC